GGCGTGCTGTTCGGAAGTAGCTTCAACCAACTCGTCTAACAATTATACTCCTGATTCAGGATATATTCTCTTCAGTCAACGCATGTCTTAATTATGCACCTCTATTCTCGTCTCTCCTTGCCCAAGAATATAGGGTGTGTCTGTTCTCCCGGCAACCGGGTAATTGATCAAAAAACTTTCTCCCGGCAGTCGCTTTCCATTGTTTATCATAAGTCACGTGACTAACTGCCGGGATAAATTTTTTGTATGATTCTCCCGGCAACTGGTAGAACTTAACGTAACCTCTTCAACTTAACCGAACGTAACCTAACCTAACCCAGCACACGCTGGGCCACGTCAGTCCAGCCTGTTTCGCAGCCTAACCTAACCTAATCTAATGCATGCTAGGCTACGTATGCCCAGTCTGTCCCGCAGCAGCCAGTTTTTTTTCTCCCCACAGCAGTTAGTCGCGTGACATATGAGAGCCAATAGGAGGCGACCACCGGGAGAAAGTTTTTTGAACAATTTCCCGGTTGCCGGGAGAATAGACACTGCGAAGTATACACTCTTCTCTAGGTTACTCACACGCCCGATAGCTGCCGTCCATGTCAGCTGGTTTGGTGCGCTTGATGGGCGACGACGACTCCGGGGGTGGGGCACGGGCCACCAGTCGCTGGAAGCTGTCCGCAGGCTCCCGGAACCCTCCTGCGTCGTCCAGGTCGTCTGAACGTTCGAATATTCTCCTAGGACGCGCGTAGCGTCCATCGTCCAGGTCGTATGAACGTTCGAAGCTTCTCCTGGGGCGCGCATAGCGCCCATCGTCTATATCGTCCTCCAGGTCGCCATGTCTCTTTGGCGACTTCCCGACAGCCTCCATAAGCCGTTCGAAGCTGCCCTGCGGCTCGCCGTTCACCGGAAAGACAAACGTCCAGGACAGCAGTATCAGCAGAGCTCCGAGCTCCAGGACCGCCACTACTCTACTCCGGACGGCAAGACTCGGGGCACTGGCGGCTCGTGTGTGAGAGGGACCAGGAGACATCGTGGCCTGATGACGAGCCCACCCGCGTCGTGTGCTTCGTGCTGAAACGACGTGGTCTGCTGGACGTTGGCGCCGAGTAACAACTCTCTTGAACAGTGGCCGCACCCACGCTGGGGGATCTAATTCAGTCGGCGTCTTCGTCTTCCTTCTCATCTACTCCTTCGCAGCGCCAAAGCATCGGTGCCTGCCACGGGGTGAGATCGGTGAAGAGTCGGGGTGCGCAAGTTGTTCGTCGGGACTAGTGCTAAAGGAAAATAACAAAACAGGGTGGTTGTTTTATTGGCGCACAACCTGCACTGTGGTGTGTGTGTGTGTGTGTTTTTAGGGATCTATCTTGGACAGTATGTATGGACTGGGGTGGGACAGGGTCTGTAGGTGACGCAATGCTACCTGTGATTTCTCGCTCAGGTTTGGCCCTGGGGGTGGAAGTTTCTGTCGTTCGAGTCTTTGGTGTTGCATAATTTCGCACGTTTCAAGACGATTGTTGACATGGTAGCGCCATCTAGTAAATAAACTTGCAAACGCTCCTCTCGGCGCACAATAAATGACATACATAGTCATGTCTTGGCATATTTAACAAAAGTATTGAAAGTAAGCAAAAAGCAATATGTTCGCTTGTTTTTAACTGTGCAAATAGTCTAGAGTATGTCACAGTACGGGCCAACGTTTCTAGAAACTTTGGTACGGGAGCCCGCGAGAGGGAGACGAGCCGAGAAATGGTAGTGTATTGGTGTTCTGTGGACGAGCCGATGTCGGACGCGTCGGGCGGCACCACCGCCGTCATGTTAGACGAGCTGGAAAAGCGAAACTTTTGTCTGATTATGAGCAAACGTGCTGCGATACTCGCTTCTAGAATACCTGCGTGCCGATGCCAGCCTTATTACGGCTCATAACGTGAATCTAAATAAACTTGCCACTTTGCACTTTGTGTTTAATCCGCTGAATGCAAGAGAGCAACGGCGCGAACAGGCGTGGTAATTCGGGCTGTTTTCTTCTGTAGATACCGTAAGTTCGGGGTATAGAACAATAATGTAACTGCGAACTGTTATTTTATTTGTCTTGCTATTTAACCAGATGAAGTACCTCCGAAGCCGCAGGTGCTGTCGTTCTCGTCTAGGAATTCTAGGCTTCCTTCGCTGAGGCACGCCGCAGCACAGTGCCGAAGGAAAACAACGAAGCTGCAGCGCCAACCATCTTCGGAGAAGTGGTCGCGAGCTTCGAAAACGACCTCAAGCGATATAAAGTAAACTCGATGTAGACTTCTTGCTGTACACTTCTAATTCACTGCATTCTGTGAAGTGCAACAACTGCATAAAAGTGCACATTCATAACTCCAGCCGGCTATCAACAACGCGGCCATACGAGTGGTGATGCAGAGGACACGGAACTATTATCACAACCCCTCTGAAAAAAGAACGTGACCACAATTTTCGCTCTGCGACTGCAGCTCGCATTGCGAGGGCCTCCGAGACCGGGAGTTGTTTCGCGACTTCAGCGCTAGGGAAGGGCACGAGTGCTGCGGCATCGTTAAAACACAGAACACCTACGTTAAAAGGGCGGATTGTAACCTGCGGCGAGGGAGCGGGGTGCAGAGCGTTGGCGTGGAGACACGGACGAACAGCGTTACACAGGCTAGTCAAAGAGCTGCTTCGCATCTAAAAAAATGGCTGCACATTTGTGGAAGCAACACACATTCAACATAGCCACGTGCCGCGGTGACAGTCGGCCATGTTCTGTCCCGGCCGCGGTAATCTTGTTTTGGCGTATACTAACCGAGTGGTCAGAACTTCTCCGGAAATTATTACTATACCGAACATTACTTGAGGTAAGTTCCCAACCCCCTTGCCCCATTCTTTTTTTTTTAACATTTATTATGCATGCGCAAAGCATTTACAAAACGTTTGCCAGTTCTCTTCTAGTAGTATCATATATGTCAGTTTCTGCCGTAAGTGTTAAATGTTCTGAATTTCAGCTAATTAAGCAAAGAAGACGCAGTAAGAAGCTTTTTGAACTTGAAGTTTCGGTTACCGCGCCGCTGACGCCGCCGCTGGTCCGATTATAGATACTTTCTACAAACGTTGCCGCTGGTCCGTCTCGGCGCACACCATATAGTTAATCATAGAGTGTATATTAGGGAGTTTTAGTGCTGGGTACCCAAGCGGCTTGCGCACGCAGGACGTTGGGACGGCGGTATTGCGCATGCGCGTAACCCCAAACAGGTGCGTCGCAAGATCGCTGGGGCGATGGGGCCATGCGTCCGCGCGGTCCACCTTCGCAAGAACTCACGGTATCCGCACTGCGGATACTCTAGCCGTCGAGTTAAAATAAGCCAAAGTGCCAGCACTTATAGCGATTACACGGTTTCAGCCAGATTTCCAAAGCTAGAATGGCCTGGAACATAGAAACTAAAAAATATATGCCAGCCCCCGACCAGCTGAATAGGTGACGCCATCTATCGCGGCCATAGTGAAACAAACAACCACAACTTTGTTATTTCAGAAACATTGTGCATTGTACATCTGGTGCAAAAACTGCGCAGCGAGAATACTACAAATGAGTAACCTTTTTATTCATTTTCACCTCAAAAACATTATGCGTAAGCTAACATGTTCATGACTGCGGGGTCACGAAGTGTCACAAGATGTCGACACTGTCGTTACAATAACCTTGCATTTTTCATTTTTTTGCGTATACCAGATTACTGTACACAATAAAAAAGTGTCCTGATCACTATGTATGTTTAATTTAACATTTTAAAAAGACTTAAATAATACTTACGCGACAAGACGCTATGGCTCTGCGAGCGCGTGTGAACTTCGTGCGGCTTACGTTTGCGTGCGTGCCACCGTGGCGCCAACTAAAAGGCATTCCGGTTGGGTATAAGTTGGGCACGCAACGCCGCGCGCTCCCAAGCCCGCAAGGCCCCAAGAGAATGCGTACCCAGCACTAAAACTCCTAACTCAATGGCGCACACCTCTATCGAACGGCTGGTAGCGTTTCCTTTACTTTTTTCCACGGCGTCGGCTTTGCGCGGCAAGGCGCCACCGACGGAAATGTCTCAGTCGGTAGGGTGTATCCAAGTATTACTCTACCGTCGGAGCATGGCATTTCTGTTATCTGGACGACTGCGGACGCCCGCTCTAACGGTAGTTTCACCTCCTGAATATTTCTTCCTCTGTGCTCACGAGTTAATTTTTTTTCTAGCGCAAGTATTAGCATTGTATTATATATCGATCATAAATGTTACAGACTCTAGAGAAAAGGTCCCCATAGGGCCCATGCATTAAATCTTATAAACACCCGGTTACAGTGTACTAGTACACTCTAACCGGGGGTGCCGCCACGATGGAACGACAGTCAGCTTTCGGGTGACGTACACTCGCATTTGTCACTGCATGCTGCAATAAAACCTGTCGTATTTTCTGTTTCGTGAATCTGTCATATCGCACTAAGAGACTGCTACATGAAGCCAAGTTTTTGGCCCATGGCAACAAAAAAGGGAGACAACGAGGCACTACATACGACTCGCCCAGCGCGCAAGCTAGCTCCATTCCGGGCCCAGTAAATTGCATAAATAGCCATTTTATTTTTCCCTAAAAAAAGCTGATATAAATTTCATGCAAGTTTTGTCCGTTTATAATACGTAAACACGCTTGTTCACGATTCGTACTGCGAAAGCTTGAATGTTTCAAGAGTCTAAATTTACCGCTTCCTTAAAGCATTGTGAAGGCAACACTGACAGGGTTCCAAGATGTCAGCGCTCAAATCGTTACAAAGTGGTTATAGGTTTTCTGCCACAACTTTTCCTCTAGAACTCTATAATTTATATGACATAAAGTGTCTTTTAGGAAATGCTATGCTCTATGAGTCATGGTGTAAATAAAGTCTCGGTGTCCAGCCCTTTCTTTCTCATTGTCGTAGGTGGTCGTAGGCCATAGATGTTGTGAGTAGATGGCGCAGCGGTCGATTGTCTTTCTCGAATTTTCCTTTCAAGCCAACGCGTTCGTTGCAAGCCGACAGGAGCGCACTCGAAATCGCAAGCATTGCAAGTACGCTCAACGTGAAGTCACCGACCGGCGCTTCCAGAGAGTTCTGCAGGCATGGCTGGTGACAGGCGTGACGAGGTAAGCGCTTACGCTCATTAACCACTCCTAATGTCCACCCTTTATTGCCCGCTTATTTTGCGGAAGAAAGTGCGAACTTTCGGAGGATGCCAATTCGCGTTACTACTTCGCGAAAGTGCGATCTCGCTGTTGCGCTTAAACGTGAACGCCGGCGTTACTTTTTTGTCCTTGCGTAGCGAGTAGTCACCGAAGGAGCGTTATATATGATACACTAGATTACATGCGTTAGCTTCTCGAAACGAACTTCGTTACTAATGGACGTCTTGGAAACGTCTAACACCGGCTGTTTTTGTCTCCCTGGGCAAACCGAGTCGAGCGGCTGAGCTGAGCCGAAGTGTTTGGGCTTCCCCCCATTAGGCTTATAGTTGCGTGCATGGCTTCGAACGTGTTAGGTGCCGGCGTCGTTCGTATTTGAATTTGTTGCCGTTGGTAACGAGACTTCCATCACTGACCTACGCACTACCACTGATCATTTCGACCGTGCTAGCGCATTTGAATAACAGGCATGCCGCGTGAGGGTAGTAGGCGATGGGTCGTTCGTATCATCTCGTGGGCTGTTAACATGCCTTGGTCGGTAATTTGTTTACGGTTAGATAGCGCATACATTCCATAGCCGTTAACAGCGTGATTAGAGAGGCAGTCGAACAATAGATTCAACGCTGAAGGCTGCGAGTTTCTTCGTCTCAGGGTCATAAAGGAATGGTTACATAATATTTGGCTAACATGGGCTTCTTCACGTAAATGGCGCTTCTGCTTGACAAAAACTTGCTGAATGCCTTCGAAACACTAGGGCGCTAGTCTTGGCTAGAGGACAGATGTAGACCTTAGCTGGAGGTAGCGTAGCTTAGACCTCTCAAAGTTTTAAAGGAATGGTTACATAATTGGCGGGGGCTGCGTTACCCAAGTTGCACTCCTACTCCAAAATACTTCGTGGGTGTCTTTGTAACGCTAGCATGATTGTCCTCTTGCTATTGCTGGAGACGACGCTTCGAGTAGTAGTGCTGTCCCCTCAGGCAGCCATTGCTACGAAGTACTGCCAACTTTGGAGAAAGCGTCCCGCTTGTCGAAACGTTTGCCCAAGTGATACCCCCCTGTTCAGTAATATTGTTCTTTTCAAACCTCCATGTGTCCGATCTCTTGCCTAGAATGTTAGTCTCTGGATATCGTACCTAAGTTACCACAGTTCTCGCTGTATCGTCTTTCCCACAGTCTGCTCACATACTTAGGTTTCTCTCAGCATGCTTAGCACGAAAGCTGGCTCAGTGCATTAGCAATTTGTTAGAGGACACCATCATTTACGCACACCCCCTTAAAGGGCCACTCACCAGGTCCCCATACCAAATTTTAGTTAGACCGTGGAAGTTTGGTCTCCAATAAGGAACGTTCTGCCACAAAATTTTTTGAATAGGTTCATTAAGAGCTGAGAAAAGTGTTTTCTTGAAGCTGCGCGAAACGAGGATCAGAGGAGGCGAGCTCCAAACCCTTGCCACTCCTCCGTGTAGCCTTTGCCAGTCAAATCTTTTCCCTACCCTCTCCGGCATCCGTCCAAGAGACCACGTGCGTATGACGTGCCCGAACAAGCCCAACCCCCGTGCACGTGAGCAAAGTTTTTTTTTTTTTCTTGCAGCATTATTTCGTGTCGTGGTCCACTGCCTGTTTCTGCGGGATAATTCAGAAATGCTGGGTTAGACGCGGTAGAATAGATGAGCACGCGAATGGGTAGGAGCGTTCTACGGCTGTAGTCTGCTCAATACGCTAACCGCGGAATAGCGAGAATACTAACGCACGCGAAACGCCGGCACATTATCCTCGCATCTTGTTGCAAATTAAGGGGAAAAAATGAAAAAGAAAATGAACGCTCACTTTCTTTTATTGCGTCTCATTGTTTATCGGGAGATTTATTAATCTCTTTGAGCAACAAATACATCAATTACGCGTGTTGTCTTAAATAGTTTCCGCCATGTCACGTGCCACTTTTCGCAACGTCGGAGCATAGTCGTCTTCGTAGAGGACCAACGTCACTGCATTGCCGTGTACGTAGGGCTATTCATACGCGCACGTCATGCCCTCATTCTCTGGGCGCACGCCCGAAAAAAGAAGGGGGAGCAGCGTTCATATTGAAATTCGACCCGTTTCCGTGGCACGCAGCGTTGAAAATTTTGGCAGACGTCATCACGAATGCCTCATCTACGCATTGCACTTGTCAGCTCAAAATTGTCAAACCTGGTGAGTGGCCCTTTAAGATTTTCAAGTGTGGATATTGCCTAATGAGGATTGCAAATAGGAAAGCTTAAACTGGATGTCGTGGACGCAGCTTCATATGTAAAGTTCTGGTCCTCCAACATAGCTGCTTTGGTGACGGAAAGGCAGAAAAATCGCATCGTGGCCAACCAGATTCAGTAGGATAACGCTGAAGCCATAATGTAATCGGCTGCTGTCTGTCATTAGAAGAGCCTGTGAGTGAGTGATGTAATAACGGTAACGACATGTGGCAGACCTTATGTCCTACGATGGTGCGCACTGATGTGGCATTTTCAGTGATGCCGGTGTAAGCTGTCTATCAGATACATCTGGGTGCATTGGTTGGGGGGGGGGGGGGGGGGAATTGAAGAGTTATTGGCATACTGGCTCTCTGGGAAATCGCTGAACTGCTATGCAGAAGACGACTTGCTATTTTGATCACCATGAAATTCCCTCATACTGTCGGATTTCATAATGACAACCTTTTAAACCGATTACAGATGCTGTAGTAGCTCTCTGGGCCAGTCAAGTCATAATTAAACAATTGTGGAACTTTACAGTTTCAACAGTAGCACCAGCTGCTCATAAATGCTAACTTTCAAGTAAAATGTTCTGGTTGTGGTTTTTTCTGCAGGCGCTCGTCGCTAAAGAAGCTGGTAATGCCGAGTACCGCAAGCGGAACTTCGATGCCGCGCTCCAGCACTATGAAAAGGCCATCGAGCTGGACCCCACGGACATGTCGTTCAGGACCAACAAAGCTGGTGCGTCAGTAAATCCTTCCTGTGAAGAAATAAACCACAATTTTCTATTTTCAGGAGATAGCTGTTCTCGCGACTTGCCATCTAGGAAACCAAAACCTTTCTGCTAGAAAAAAAAAAGCCTATAAAGGGAAACAACTTCGGAATTCCACATTTCCTTCTCATACCCGTGACACACGGGCAAAAGTAAAGTACTTTGAAGTAAACCCCTTTTGTCGCCTAAGGGGACCATTTGCAGAAAGGAGTGGCGCTGATGACACACGGCACCGGACTACTGCTTTAGGCGGTGCCTCAGAAGAACGCTGCAGAAAAAATGGCGCTCTTTGTGGAAGCAGCAAGATTGGAAATATTAAAAAGAATCTGCGCATGTACATCACATTCAGCGACGCCGAAGCATAAAACCGTTTTTTTTTATTGTCTGGTGGCTTATAATGCGCATACCTGTAATTTTCTTTCGCTTTTTTTGCGTTTTTAGCAGCAACCTAAGTTCGTCTGGCAACTATGAACAGTCAGTGTTTTGCTGTTTTTGTTTTTGTTCCTCGATATGCGAGGTGCCCATGCATGTCGGGTTTTACAGGCCCGATCTTAACACACACTAAACAAGCAAGCGGGACACGCGCGACAACGCGTAGCGTGAGTGACCGTCTTATCTGAATGTCTGTGACAAGTTGTCAATTTGGCTGTGAACTTGCGCCCGTGTACGCGGAACACCGGCGTCGGTGAGGCTCTCAGCAATCGCCTGGTACACTCCACCGTTGTGCTTTTGCCCTCGCAAGGCATCCAAATGGTCCTTCCATAGATTTATCAGCGCCCAGGTCTCCTTTTCAGTCCACTGGACGCGCGGTTTATTCTTCACTGACTGAGCCAACTCCATTGTTACAAGATACTACGTCGCCGACACAGCAGCTGTTGTTGCCAACCCTAACATGATCGCGCTAGTGACGTAATGCAGGCGTTTGAGAGTATGGACATACTATAGGCCTTCACTTTTCAATAAATCGCACTGCTGCTGAAAATGAAAACATTTTCTCAGCGCAAAAAAATACTGACAGGGCACCGCAGTGTTGCGACACGTTTTCTTCTATTGATAAATTATGCACACTGTATGCGAGAGTACTCCCTTCCTGCCAGAAAAGTAGATGCGGGATCTGCTTTTGCGAAAAGGATCTTTGCCGAAAAGGAGTTATTCCTTCGTCGTGTGTCACTGTACCCGAACGCCTTTCCGAAAGATGTCCCCTTGTCTAAAGGACTTCAGGGTGCCCGTGTGTCAGGGGCATCAAAGAAGGATGGTTGCTAGCTGCACCAATGGGTGCGTAATCAAGGCCAACGTTATCAGCCAGTTACCCTGCCTTTGCAGACTCCAAGTGCGTCAGGGGACTATTTGTTTAGTCACAGAGGCCATTGGCTACTGCACTGCGGTTCAATGCATGGGTTCTTTTCAAACTGTCAAGTTTTATCCAACTAAAGAGGCAGATGTCGCATGGTTCGCCTTCCAGCGTCTGGTGAGTGCAGTCACTGTAGGAAATTTATTGTACAATTTGAGGGTACCGGGCTTGCTACTTCCCATGCGTAGGTAAAGCAGGGACGACTGAGCTTCACCTCAAAAGAAACAAAAACAACTTCGAACTAAACCCGGCAGATGTCAGGGTCGGTTCGGGGACACCAGGCAGTTACGTGGCGACCAAGATTCCGGGCAGCAGCAGTCGGCCAGCGCGGGTGACAGCATCTGTTCGTTATGGCAGCCAAAGCACTTCTCTATAAGGGCAGCACGCAGGCTGACCCATTTGAGGAACGCAGGCGCACCGCTACTGCGCAACACGTGGCGCTCTCTCTCTCAATCAATCAGTTTATTATCATGTCATAAAAGGATGTTACAGGGAGTGTCATGCAGACACTGCGGAATCAGGGCGTAGATGAAGTATATATAAAAATTCTGGAAGAAATCTATAGGGAATCAACTGCTACTTTAGTGCTTCATAAAGAAAGCAACACAATACCATTCAAGAAGGGTGTAAGGCAGGGGGACACAATCTCCCCAATGCTATTTACCGCGTGCTTACAGGAGGTTTTCAGAAGCCTAGAATGGGAACAGTTAGGGACAAGAGTTAATGGAGAATGCCTTAGTAACCTGCGCTTCGCTGATGACATTGCATTGCTGAGTAACTCAGGGGACGAATTGCAACTCATGATTACGAAGTTAGACAAGGAGAGCAGAAAGGTGGGTCTTAAAATTAATCTGCAGAAAACGAAAGTAATGTACAACAACCTCGGAAAGGAGCAGCGCTTCGACATAGGTAATAGTGCACTTGAAGTTGTAAAAGACTATGTCTCTTAGGGCAGGTAATAACCACAGAGCCGAACCACGAGATTGAAGTAACTAGAAAAATAAGAATGGGGTGGAGCACATTCGGCAAGCACTCTCAAATTATGGCAGGTAGATTGCCACTATCCCTCAACAGGAAGGTATATAACAGCTGTATCTTGCCGGTACTTAGCTACGGAGCAGAAACCTGGAGACTTACAGAGAGGGTTCAGCTTAAATTGAGGACGACGCAGCGAGAAATGGAAAAAAAAATGGTAGGCGTAACCTTAAGAGACAAGAAGAGAGCAGAGTGGATTAGGGGACAAACGCGGGTTAAAGATATCATAGTTGAAATAAAGAAGAGGAAATGGACCTGGGCCGGGCATGTAGCGCGTAGACAGGATAACCGCTGGTCATTAAGGGTAACTAACTGAATTCCCAGAGAAGGGAAGCGGGTTAGGGGGAGACAGAAGTTTAGGTGGGCAGATGAGATTAAGAAGTTCGCGGGTATAAATTGGCAGCAGCAAGCACAGGACCGGGTTAACTGGCGGAACATGGGAGAGGCCTTTGTCCTGCAGTGGACGTAGTCAGGCTGATGATGATGATGACAGGGAGTAAAATATACAGACGAGGGTCCCAAAGTACACGACTGCAGCGGGACCCTCTGTGATGATTACAAATAATAAAAGCACAAGCAGCTGTTAGAATCGTAGAAACAAAAATATACAAAGCAGAATGAAAACAAAAAGGCATGGAATTAAAAAACAAATAATACAGCATAAAACAGCACAAAGAAGATAGATCAACCATTTAACAGGTACTCTTTTAATGAGTTTTTAAATGAAATTAAAGAAACTTAGCATTTTAGCGAAGTGGGCAAATTATTCCATATGGTGATGGTACAGAAGAGAGATGATTTACCATAGTTAGTACGAACCTTAGGAAGTAAGTTATTATTAGCCGCAAACCTGGTTGTGTTAGTATTAACTAACATCTTAGGATCAATGAAATTAGCAGAAAGTTTTCTTCTCTGGATAGGTGGTGGGCGTGGTTCCCACAAATTTCAGTGGCCGAGTTGGAGCAGTCGACGGTCTGTATGAGCATGTGCTCGACTCTGGCCTAGAGCAACACGGCCTCATCTGCAATTTGAACACAGTCTGAATTGTTGGAGCAAAGTGGAAGTTCTATCTTTCAGGTGCCAAGTTGCCCAGAATACCTTATGCGTAGTTAGTCTCTTTTGCTGTCCGATTTCGTCAAATAGATGCTGTTGCATGGCAGGTTCAGCGTTGCTGTCATTATTTGAGAAAACACTCCTGCAGGAACTGGATTGAGCTTTCTAACCTAAGGCTCTTGCTATCAAGCGGCGAAAGCTGTGTCGCACAATTTTCTATGCCGTCCAAGGTTCTAGTATTGTTGGGGCCATCCATGTTGTTCGCCATTACCACCCCACCACGCGGCTACTGGTGGCGCCCCTAATAAAGAAAACATGTTAAAGGAAGTGCGTCACACTGTGGTCCAGTTCACTCTGCCGATTCTCGCAGAGCAACCTTTCCCGCTTCACGCAGTGACTCGTGCTCTCAATCTGCTGGCCCTCTCGTGAGACGACTCGGCTCTGACCCTCACCATTAGGATACGACATTTTTCCCAGTGTCTGTTCGTAATCCATACTTGCTCGAGTAGTCAGGCAGCAGTTGCTGTGCCAAGTACTTTGCGTACCAGGTGTTTCAATTCATAAGCATGCACAGGTCTTGCTTCAATTTTTAAAAATATGTTGTCAGGTTAGTTGGGTCATGACAAACATGCCCATTTTTTTTTATAATATTGGCGCGTGTGTACTGGTGGACCAAAATGACGATAAGGGGATTTGGCGGACACCAGGTAGTGGAGCTCTGGCTGATCGAAGATAAAGAAGGCGATCTTGCTGTTCGGCTGCTGAGAGTCGCTGTGTCAACGTTTATCTGCCTTTAGTTCGCGCTGTACCGCGACACTGGTGGAAGTGCTGGGGCGCAACCCTACCTTATGCTCCATACTCCCACTGGGAGCCGTTCATCTAGCTCGGACGCATTGTCACCCATTGCAACTCCCGTGCACCAGTTCAGTCGGCGGCTGATAGGCCTCGCACCAGAGTTCACACCTTCCACGGAACCTCGCAAGTGCCGATTACCTCTCCAAATGACCATCGCCAGTCCGCAACAAGGCCCCCCGCCAACACAGCCTTCACAGGTAACCATCTTTAAACCGCTGGTTCCCGATCACTTCAGTGGCGGCGCCCATGAAGACGTGGACGACTGGCTTGAGCACTATGAGCGTGTCACCAAGATTAATCTGTGGCCTGAACAAGAAAAGCGCTCACGCGCCTATTTCTACCTTGACGGCGGTGCGAAAATTTGGTATGAGAACAGAGAAGCCAGTCTGTTAATTTGGGGCAACTTCCGACAACAGCTTGTCGATATGTTCACCAATGTCGATCGACGCGACCGTGCGCAGCAGCTGTTGGAGCTACGGGTTCAAAAACTCAATGAAAGCGTTGCTATGCTTGCTGAAGATATGACTCGTCTTTTTCGTCTAGCTGACCCGAACATGAGTGAAGATAGGAAGTTGAGCTACCTCATGCGCGGCGTTAAGGAGCAACTTTTCGCCGGGCTACTGCGCCACCCTCCAAGTACCGTAGTTGACTTTATCAAGGAGGCTACGGGTATCGAGCGGGCCCTCCATCAACGATGCAGGCAGTATCATCGAATGTCTAGCAGTGCCCCAATCAATGCTGCCACCATACCTGAGGATCAAAGCTCCCTGCGAGACCTCATTAGGGAGATAGTTCGCGAAGAACTGCAAAAGTTCCGTAATCCAGTTGCTCAAACCTTCGTTGCGTTCGTCTCTGAACTGGTACGCCACGAAATCCGCCACGTATTTTCTACCGCTGGTCCTGGTGACGAGCACCGTCCTATGAGCTATGCCGATGCTCAGCGACATTCGCCATCTGGTACATCGCTGCCATATCACCCAGTGCAGACGGCCCCTTGGTCACCGTCGCAAGAGCAGACCCTGAGCTGACCGCCAAGCCAACCGATGTACCACCAGGCGTCCACAGCAGCACCATGGACATCGTCGCAAGAACGACGATGTCCATGAGGCATGGTGCACCAAGCGTCGTAATCACAGACAGAGGAACCGCATTTACGGCAGCTCTTTTGGAAAAAGTCCTCATGCTGAGTGGAACAACCCATCGTAAGACCACCGCCTACCACCCGCAAACGAACGGGCTTACAGAGCGCCTGAACAAAACAATTGAAGACATGCTTTCAATGTACGTAGACGTGAAACACAAAAATTGGGACGAAATCTTGCCATATATTACGTTTGCGTACCACACTGCCAAGCAGGAAACAACCCAGATGACCCCGTTCAGCCTAATTCACGGAAGGGAAGTACGAACCATGTTAGATGCGATGCTAGCGCACGAATGCGACGACATCGAACCGGACGCCGATATGTTTACAGAACGAGCGGAAGAAGCAAAGCAACTAGCTCGCCTGCGAATCTAGCAACAACAAGAGTACGACGCGAGCCACTACAATTCTCGCCGCAGAACAGTCGTTTACCAGACCGGCGACAGAGTATGGGTTTGCACGCCCATACGGAAACGAGGACTCTCTGAAAACCTCCTAAGGAGATACTTCGGGCTATATCTAGTACTGCGACGATTGAGTGATGTTACTTACGAGGTCGTCCCCTACAGTTCATGTAGTACGAGGCTTCGCCAGCACCGTCCTGAACTAGTTCACGTTGTGCGCATGAAGCCTTATGAAAAGTAGTGACTGCACAAGACACTTGTGCACTTAAAGAACAGACAAAAAAAAAGCTGCACTACTGGTTTAGCATCGGGGCGATGCTCATTAAGAGGGGGGCAAATGACGCGTGTGTACTGGTGGACCAAAACGACGATAAGGGGATTTGGCGGACACCAGGTAGTGGAGCTCTGGCTGATCGAAGATAAAGAAGGTGATCTTGCTGTTCGGCTGCTGAGAGTCGCTGTGTCAACGTTTATCTGCCTTTGGTTCGCGCTGTACCGCGACAATATGTGATATGTACTATTTGAATACCATTCTAAACTATTAGACCAGAATCGCTATTTGCATCGAATTTAAAATTCACTATTCGCACAGGCGTGGCCACCCATGAACTGGTATCAAAAGACCCAAGCATTAATCTGGATTCTTTGCATGGCATACTGTGCAATGATTTTGTAAATTCATTTGATTAAACTCCCATTAACATTACTGTTACTTAAAGGGCCAGTAAACAGCCCTGAGGTCAAAAAGCTTTTAAAACAAATTATATGTGCAGTATTTTTTTGCGGACATGCTGTCGCAAGAATTTCGTGAATACGTGCTATATTAAGGAAGTTACAGGGGTTACAACATCGGTCTGAGCTGGTTTCAAATTTTCGCGCGGCCTCGCTCCCCTTCTCCCCTCCATGAGGGGGAAGGCGTAGCCCATCATCGTTACTCCGCCCATTTCAGCAACGTGACACCACGTCAGCGATTGAAGTCATTGGCGAGCTCGATCAGTGGCAACGCACTTCTGCTTGCTACGAAGCGTGGTTATTTGTTTACCGTTTCTCGCACCAGCCACGGGTCAACCGTGTAAGCGTCGGGTGCGAAGTGTCGACCACAAACGATCTGGTTCCCGACGTCCGTTGCTAGATGGCGGATTCGCTTCAGCCATGCAACACGCAGGGCCCCATCGTGAGGTACCCGGTGCCGATGCTTCTCCGCTGCCCAGTCGCTCGACTTGCAGCCGACGACAGAGCAACGCTTTTTGCCCGTGCTGCTCATGTCAAGGGCGAAGTACGTTCGTACGTGCGCACAGGCGCTGTAGTTGAGCGAGGAGCGACAACTGCGAGGCTGGTTCTTTCACAGCAGTGCCAAGAAACAAGGGGCAGTTTCGTCGCTGTGGGTGGGAACAAGAACTGACGTTGACCTTGCTGCTGTTTTTTCACACCTGATTTAGACCGATTGGCGAGCTGCTTCGGCGAGCTGCGTGCTACATCATGTCGCCGATCGCCGAGTTGACGTCACTGCGCGTGCAAGGCGGGCGGTCAGGCGTAGGAAAGATGCGCGGGAATAGTTTTTCGAAATAGAGGCTCTGCACCGCGTGCAGCCCTGTAATATTCAGAAAACGTAATCGCTGCGGTCTAATCTACGAATTTCTGAGCTTGTTTGGGGGTGTAAAAAAAAAAGTCTGAGCCTGTTTACTGGCCCTTTAAGCATTAATGTTTGAAAACAATTTTCTTAGAAATACCCATTTAGCATCATTGACAGTTTACATGTTCCAAATTCAGCCTCCATACAGAATTAGGGGGTGTCTTGTTCCTTTCAAGGGGCACTGATACGAAATATTTCGCTTATCATGTCAAATGATAGGCCATGTCCCCAGGAGCGTATAAAATGTATCAGTATGCATGAGTGTTCCCTGACAAATTACAGCTTGCTTTCAAAAGCTAGTTTCAGTTCCTACTGTACCCTGACACCTGAACATGGTATAAGCAGCGCCACCAGGCGGTGGTAAGTAAGCGCACGCGCAAGTTTTCCCGGCGCATCCTCGTGCTGCATGTAATGTAACTGTTCGTCGCATGGGGGGGGGGGGGGCGCAACGTTGGGTTGGCATGACATTTAAGGCACGGATTATTCTTCGACAATCCTAAGTCTGTCAGCAACTACTTGTTGCCTGCATCTGGAGTGAAGTGCAAGGAACAAAGCAAACTCTTTTGGTTGGCGTCCAATTTCCACCTCAGCCGCTGAGCACAAAGCCTACCTACGCTTGTTTCAGCGCCGGATCTAACGGGAATCTTAGAACTTGCGCCTATTGTCCTCCTTTTCACTGGCGCAAAACTTCACAGGGCAAAATATTGGCGCCATGACTACCAAGCCTGAATCAAATGATTCCTTTGCCCTCTGATAAGCGTATATCTTGTATTCGCTTGCACGTAGGCTATTCCAGACTCCGTTAGCTCTCTTCACAGAGGTGCTGGATGTCGGTGACCGCTGACTACACGGCACGAGCAGAGGATCTAGAAAACGGCGTCCGAGCTGGCATTTTTTGTTTTTGTGCTTACGACATCACAACTAGCCAGAGTGCTAAGTTAGTGTTGATGTCGGTAGGTGTGCTGACTTAATATCAAATTGAAATATTTTATGAGCATTTGCTAAACAATGCAAAATTACGAAGGGCACTTTGATGCGTACAAGTATCTTTTCTGGCTGTACGTAAGGCTTCACCTTCATTTAATGAAAAGATTATGTTAGTTTAAATACTGGAACATGTTCATGTTTGTCGAGCAGTCTCTACTGAAACTTAGTCGTTTTTGTTTTTCTGCTTCATGCGAAGCAAACCTCTCGTTATTGCAGCCTAACCGCTGCAATATAGTGCTTTCCTAAAAAAAAAAAAACAAATCACACATCATCCACGGCCTGTGTTGTACCCCAGAAATGTTTTGTCATCCCGTACATGCCAGCTCTGCAAACAGCTGGAAAAAAAAAAACCTGGGCATCTAATTCCTTTGCTTGAGACAGTGCATCATTTTGTTGACTAGTGTAGCAAACATGCAATCTGTTTCTCCCTTTTTTTACAGCTGTTTATTTTGAGCAGAAAGACTATCAAAAATGCATCGCGGAGTGCAATCAAGCCATCGAAGTTGGCCGTGAAAACAGGGCGGACTTCAAGCTTATTGCAAAGTGAGTGTTGCATGGAACGCCTTGTTGTCGGCGCACTCTGTATTTCCAGCTTGCGAATGGCAGACACACATTGATGCAGGTGGGAAGTAGCATGCGCAGAATTTTCAGGAAAGTCGAAGTCTGATGACAATTTTTTGGGGACGAGATATGTAAAGAGCGTAAGGTTTTACAGTAAAGCTCTTAGGCACCCATTCTTCTGAAGGGCGTCATTGCTAGTTTTAATAGAGTGAAGAAGCAGCAGCGAAATATGAACGAGAACATGGAGTGTGAGGAGGATGGCAATAGCACAAAAAAAAAGCACTTTGCCACACAAGACTGCTGTAAGGTTTGCAATCCGTTTCTCTGGGGCACCTGTTCCTGCATTTAGTGTGGCCATGCCTTGTCCATTATACCGAGTCAACGACCACAGTGAAAGTATAGGAAGTCATGTGCTGCACGCACATCTACCAATTGGAATTCAATGTATAGTTACGTAGTATGGCATTTTGGTGTCCTCTGATGCTACCAGATTTGATATGTGGGGTTTGACGTCCCAAAACCACCATATGATTATGAGAGACGCCGTAGTAGAGGGCTCTGGAAATTTTGACCTACCTGTGATTCCTTAACGTGTCTCTAAATCTGAGCGTACGGATTTACAGCATACTCACCTCAATCGGAAAAGCAGCCGCCTCAGCCGGGATTCGATCCCGCGACCTGCTGGTCAGCAGCCGAGTACCTTAGCCACTAGACCGTTGCGGCGGGGCCCTCTGATGACACCAGACAGCCCTGCCTGCCACACATTTTGACGGAACATTTTTTGGTGTAGCTGTTGAATAGTCTGAGCTAGAGTCACGGTATATGCTACCTTCAGGCAGCAGAGTAGTGCACTTATTTTCGAACGCTGCTACCAACCATGCTATGCGGACCATGCAATGCGGAGAAGCTGGTGCACTGGCCGCACTGCTGAAAGCAGCCGCCGTACACCTGACATCTATCAAGTGACATTCGTGCGCTCTGTAACTCGTTAGCTGCCAACTGGTACTTTTGTTTTCTGTATAGATTTATGTCCTTAAGCTTCGTTAGCAAGGTATTTGCGTGGATTCGGCACCATTTTCGAAAAACTTGCTCAAATAATCAATGCTGTAGGCTTAGGGGGGTGCTTCTTAAATTCGGAGGACTTATATCGGTGTTTATGAGCTGTTGCTTATTTACTATGGCTGGTGCCACTTGACCATGCGGCAGCCTTAGTGTATGTTATTCGGCACTATGCGCCTTTGATAACCGAACTGACTAACAAATGCTCTTGAACTCCCGTGGCACAGTCCCTAAAGCAGGTGTTTAATCTTTCTTCGCCGGTCGTTGACACGCTAGGCACGTGTGTGCCTGTGTGTGTGTGCGTGTTGGTCTTTTAACCCTCTTGCTTTCACCAAATATGACTAGTTTCTGTATATTGCAATGCAAGTAGTAAATAATTTTACAGAACAAATGTGTTGTCAAGCCTGGGCTACATATTTGTAAAAAAAACCTTTGTAAAAAAGAAAATAATGTTTGCAACTGAAATCTCTGACAGGCTTCGTCTATCGGCGATAGGCTTAAGCAAGTCGCCTGCAAAAACAGAGTGCGGCTCGCCGCGTAATTATGGCTTCTAACCGGGCAAGATGGTGGATCTCTGTGCAACTCTGCTCCCCTAAAGAGCATATTCAGTGACTCTAGTTTGAGCGGACGAATTGCTAAGCAAGGTCACCCAGCGATATCCGCTCGTAGAGTTCCCACTGCCTCGTTTGCCAAAGTGTCATTGGCACCAATGTTTGAGTTAAATGTGCACGGTTTTCTTGACCCGAGTAGAATCTTCGGGAGATTCGCAAGCTGTGCGACATGTACGCTACATAACAATGCGCTTTATCCGCTTCTGGTTTCTTACGGCAGTTGAGATATGCATCGTCTGCAGCGAGCGCAAGGGGAGGGGCATTTACTTGCTCGTGAGATGGTGGCGCCTTCTCTTGTGTGGCACCGGAGGCAGTTGCATGTTTTCAAAATGTTTTTAAGTTATAGCTACGATTACTTGGCTATTTCAATTAATGATTACTTTACACCTACTTCATTTATTTTTACTCAGATTTGAGCATTGCTAACCTCCTCATGGCCTGTGATCATTCCGCATGAAGTCATGGATGGATGAGAACCTGGACCTCTAATGCACTCTGCACTTATAATTTGTAAGCACTGTGGGGTGAAGCATTTACACAATTTTCTTTGTCAAAAGGACAGGCAGGGAGTGTGGGAGCTGAAATCTTTCTTTGGTTGTCACCTAAGAAAATAGTTTTTATCTTTGGTGTGCCTTTCATTCAAGGTTACCATTTGAAACTGGCATGTAGAGCAATTGGTACCTGCTGTGAAAACTCTGTGTGTTGAGGTAGAGCCACAATTGCAGCACACGTTACAGCATCAAGCTGCATTTCAGATTGCCCTCGGCCGTGATGAAAACCATGCGCGTCATCTGACTGGCTTTCTGACTGCAAGACCATTCTGGCTTCCTTGCATTGCTCGGTTCTCGGGTGATGAAAGACTTGGCGAGGTGGTCCAGTGCGGAAAGCTCAAGATGCTGGCTTTTTCTGAGCTCACTGGGCACTGACAAGTTTACCTCCTTAAGCTCATCTCGCTGCAAGTTTCGAAATGAATAGTGCAGGACGCATGAAATTGTTGTCCGGTTGGCTGTTTTTGTGTAAAGCAGTTTCGTCTGGTGGGAACCAAAACTCGGGACTGTATATGCTTTTCGCGGCGGCTGCATTTCCGATAGAGGCGGAAATGTTGTAGGCCCGTGTGCTCAGATTTGGTGTAGGTTAAAGAGCCCCAAGTGGTCGAAATTTCCGGAGCCCTCTACTACAGCGTCTCTCACATTCATATGGTGGTTTTGGGATGTTAAACCCCACATATCAATCAAGTCATGTAGTATGCTTTCAGTCCTCGCTCATTTGCCATACTCTCCGCACTGCTTTTTATATTTCACTGGGCTCGTTCTCTCTGTTACAACGTATGAAGCATACTGACGATCAATGCAGGAACGGGCATCTAAGAGCTGTGCTCTAAATATGAATGCTTGTTGCATACGGCATACACGTAATCTCTCCGGCCTTTCTATCAAACTGAAGTGACTTGCAGCACTGTTGTGTGTCCTCTTTTTTATAGGCCAAACACTGCCATGAACAGACAGTCAGAGAATGGATCGTGTTTTCATTTCTAGTAACATAGCAAAAGAAGTGGACCAATACAGCTCCACTTGAGCCTCCTTTATAAGAGGCTTGCTCCGGGCAGCAATTCTCGCTTTGTATACGAAGTGTGCCTGGTAAACAGGATACCACACATGCATTTTCTTATCAACCCGTATTTTACTGCTGGCACACTGGTGTCTTTTACACCAATTTGTCTCGTATATCAGTGTCTCTCGTAAAGGGGTTAGACTATATAGACGAACGGTTGTGGACTGTCAGCTGCACTGCACTTTCCACCACCTCATTTCTGCCTCAATAGATGCAGCGTCCATGGAGTCTGTGCTGATAGGTTGTTGCTGGATGTACACTACACATGCACAACTTCAGCCTTGGAAACTTAGTGGCTCTGCTTGTCTTATGTTTTTGGCATGGTAGCTGTTTGAGTAGGTGTCTCTGCTTAAATGTTACTAGGATGTACGAGATGTGGCCTATGATTTTTCTCTGTAGCTGAAATATCATGAGTGCTTTGAGTTCTGGGGTTCAAGAGATGAACTGTAAGGCATTGAAAGTAGCAGTCTTTGTCGTTGGTAAACTGTTAAGTTGTTTATTGCTGGCTGTCAACTGAATTTAATGGGATACATGGCTGCTACGGACAGGACTGTAGGAGTACTCTCACAATTAACTGTTGTAGACTGACAAACCTCACTTTGGCAGTATCGTATTCGGACTGTTAGTGATTCGTGTTGATGATCAATTTGCTTCTGCTGATTACCTTAAACTGCATTACTTGAGCTTTAATATCATTCACTACCTCTAGATTGGTGTTGTAGGTTTTATATTACTGCTAATTTTTCATGCAATAGTGGATAACTTGTGGACGTTTCTGAAAGCTAGTCTTTAAGCTAGAATCCTCTACTTGACCTGGTGTTTGCAGTCAATGGGTCACACTGCATTAAGCAGTTGCTCAGTATCGGTGCACTTCCTTTGGCCGTGATGAAAACCATGCGCTTCATCTGACTGGCCTTCAGACTGTGCAGTCATCCTTGCTTCTTTGCATCCTTCGTTTCTCGAAGGATGAAGGACTCGGCGAGGTGGCCTCATACTGACTTTTATTGACACTTATCGATGCCGACTTTTATTGCGACAGCAATTATATGGACACTCTTGGCTAGATTTTGCTGCCGACGTCAGCGCCATTCATTGTATATCTACGTATCTATATACTCGAAAATGCAAGAAAGAAAAATAGTCCAGAAAAAGACTCTGGTGCGCTGAATCGAACGTCTGACCTCTTGCTTGTGAGTGCAAGGCATTAGTCACTGAGCTATGAGGAGCACCTCTTTCAATGCTGAAATGGCAAGCTATTTATATCTACCACTTTGACTGACTAACTGACCTGTATTTGCTTGTGTTGGCAGTTATTACCAACCAAATACACCGCAAACCGTAACAACAAATAAGATGTACTTATATTCAGAAACTCTTGGTGAATGGTCTGTAAGTTAACATACTTGGGATAGCAGTGTGCTGAACTGTTGTGCGATATTTATGAGAGTCAGAAAGGCATTAACGTCGAGCTTGTGGGTTGTTCATGATTCTTAAAAAAAAATAGTTAAAAACTATGAACACTAGGAGGACATGCAAGTGGCTTCAGTGTTGGTGCGTAGCCCTCAGCCTTGATGAAAACAATGCAGGTCATCTGACTGGCTTTCTGGCAGTCAGAACATCCCCTTGCCTCCTTTCAATCACTCTGTTCTCGGGCGACGAAATACTCTGCAAAGAAGTCTAGTGCGGAAAACTTATAATGCT